TCCCGAGCTCCATGTCCCCCCCTCCCAATCGTCCCTTTGACTGTCTCTCCCTGTTTTTTTGGGGAGGGGGTCTTGTTGAATCCCACCCCCCTCTCTCCCAGCTTTGTCCCTCAAGGGGGAATCGTCTCCCAGCAGGACAAAGTTGTCCCTGGAGGGGGAATCGTCCCTCAGCTCCAGAGCTTTCCTGGGGTTGTTTTTGGGGGGGAAGGGCTGGGTTTGCTCAGATTCCTCAGAGATTAGAGTGGGAATCCTCCCCCCATCCCACGGAAAAGGGAATTGTGAAGCCCCAGGGCTCTCCGTTCCCAAACATTCCAGAGGCTCCTCTTCTCCCTCACCACAGGTGAAGAGCTTCATCGAGACGCAGAAGGCGCTGCTGGCCGAGATCCAGAACGGCTGCAAGAGGAACTTCATCCTGGCCAAGGAGCAGGAGGAGAAGGAGCAGCAGCTGCAGCCCTCGGCCTCCATGCCCGAGATCACCGTCACGGGCCCGGAAAACCGGGATGGAGACAAGGAGGAGGACAAGGAGGAGGATGAGGAGGACAAGGAGGAGGATGAGGACGAGGAGGAGGAGGAGGAGGAGGAGGTGGCGGAGGCCCTGGCGGCTGAGGAGAACGGGGACACTGAGGAGGGCAAGGGTGACATTTCGGACTCCAGTTCGGACACGGACGAGGAAGGGGCAGAGCCCGAGGGCTCGGGCCCCCCCCGGCCCCCGGAGCGGCCGCAGGATCGGCCCTGCCCGCCGCCGGCCCCCCGGGAAGCTCCTGCGGCCTCCACCGCGGCCTCCACCGTGGCCTCCACCGCGGCCTCCCCGGGCCTGCAGAGGAGGATCTCGGTCTCCAGCCCCGGCAGGGGCCACAAGGTCTTCGTGGTGACGCGCGTGGAGCCCCTGCCCGACGGAGGAGACGCCGGACCGAGACCACCGCAGCTGCAGCCCGAGTCAGGGTCCAACCTGGAACCATCCCGGGAGAACAGGGTGGTTCCTGAGGGCCACCGGCCCGACCCCAACCCGGATCCATCCCAGGAGAACAGGGCCGTTCCTGAGGGCTGCCGGTCCAACCCCGACCCGGATCCATCCCGGGAGAACGGGGCCGTTCCTGAGGGCTGCCGGTCCAACCCCGACCCGGATCCATCCCGGGAGAACGGGGCCGTTCCTGAGGGCTGCCGGTCCAACCCCGACCCGGATCCATCCCGGGAGAACGGGGCCGTTTCTGAGGGCTGCCCGTCCGACCTGGAGCCATCCCGGGAGAACAGGGCCGTTCCTGAGGGCTGCCGGTCCAACCCGGACCCGGATCCATCCCGGGAGAACGGGGCCGTTCCTGAGAGCCGCCGGTCCAACCCGGATCCATCCCGGGAGAACAGGGCCGTTCCTGAGGGCCACTGGCCCGACCCCGACCCGGATCCATCCCGGGAGAACAGGGCCGTTTCTGAGGGCTGCCGGTCCGACCCGGAACCATTCCAGGAGAACAGGGCCGTTCCTGAGGGCTGCCGGTCCGACCCCGACCCGGAGCCATCCCGGGAGAACGGGGCAGTTCCCGGGGCCGTTCCTGAGGGCTGCCGGTCCGACTCCGACCCGGATCCATCCCGGGAGAACAGGGCCGTTCCTGAGGGCCACCAACCCGAGCCGGATCCGGATCCATCCTGGGAGAACGGGGCTGTTCCCGGGGCCGTTCCTGAGGGCCACCAACCCCAGCCGGAGCCGGATCCGGATCCATCCCGGGAGAACGGGGCCGTTCCTGAGGGCCACCAACCCGCGCCGGAGCCGGAGCCGGATCCGGATCCATCCCGGGAGAACCGGGCCGTTCCTGAGGGCCGCCGGCCCGACCCGGATCCGGATCCATCCCGGGAGAACGGGGCTGTTCCTGGGGCCGTTCCTGAGGGCCACCAACCCCAGCCGGATCCGGATCCGGATCCATCCCTGGAGAACGGGGCTGTTCCCAGGGCCGTTCCTGAGAGCCGCCGGCTCGACTCGGAGCCGGATCCATCCTGGGAGAACAGGGCAGTTCCCGGGGCCGTTCCTGAGGGCCACCAGCCCGACCCGGATCCGGATCCATCCCGGGAGAACGGGGCCATTCCTGAGGGCCACCAACCCGCGCCGGAGCCGGATCCGGATCCGGATCCATCCCGGGAGAACGGGGCGGTGGTCCCCGAGGGCCCCCGGTGTGGGACCCCCTCCCGGGACCCTCCCCTGCCCAACGGGCTCAAGGCGGATTTCGCTTTCGCGCGGGCGCTGCCGGAGGCGCCCTCGGAGGGCGGCGGGAAAGGCGGGAGCTGCGGAGCCCAGCACGGTGAGGGGGGACGGGCAGGCAGGCAGGGAGGGAGGGAGGGAGGGGATGAGAACCCCCCCAGTTCCTGAGGGGTCTGAGCCCTGAGACCCCCAATTCCTGTTCTGAAAGCCCAGAGATCCCCAATTCCTGAGGGGGTGAGACCCCCAGTTCCTGAGGGATCAGAGCCCTGAGATCCCCAATTCCTGAGGGATCTGAGCCCCGAGACCCCCAATTCCTGTTCTCAGAGCCCTGAGACCCCCAATTCCTGAGGGATCAGAGCCCTGAGATCCCCAATTCCTGTTCTGAAAGCCCAGAGGCCCCCAATTCCTGAGGGGGTGAGACCCCCAATTCCTGAGGGGTCTGAGCCCTGAGACCCCCAATTCCTGTTCTGAAAGCCCAGAGGCCCCCAATTCCTGAGGGATCAGAGCCCTTAGACCCCCAATTCCTGTTCTGAAAGCCCAGAGGCCCCCAGTTCCTGAGGGGGTGAGACTCCCAATTCCTGAGGGATCAGAGCACTGAAATCCCCAATTCCTGAGGGATCGGAGCCCTTAGACCACCAATTCCTGAGGGATGCAATTCCTGAGGGGGTGAGACCCCCAATTCCTGAGGGATCTGAGCCCTGAGGGGGTGAGACCCCCAATTCTTGAGGGGTCAGAGCTCTGAGACCCCCAATTCCTGTTCTCAGAGAACTGAGACCCCCAATTCCTGAGGGATCAGAGCCCTGAGATCCCCTAAAGGAACCCAAAGTTAATCTCCCAGAGCTTTTCCCGAGGGAACTGGAACCCAAAGGAAACCTCCCTTAACTTTTCCTGAGGGATTTTGAATCCAAAATGAATCTCCCAGAGCTTTTCCTGAGGGAATTGGAATCCAAGACGAACATTCCTGACCTTTTCCCGAGGGAACTGGAACCCAAAGGATACTTCCCTGAACTTTTCCCGAGGGAACTGGAACCCAAAGGAACCTCCCAGAGCTTTTCCCGAGGGAACTGGAACCCAAAGGAAACCTCCCTGAACTTTTCCTGAGGGATTTTGAATCCAAAATGAATCTCCCAGAGCTTTTCCCGAGGGAACTGGAACCGAATTCCAACCTCCCGGTGCCCCAGGGCTCCATCCCGGCCCATAATGAGTCTCCCAAAGGATCTCCTGGAACCCCCCCCCCCCGCCCCCCCATTCCCGCCGTTTTCAGGGTGGGAAAAGCTGGAAGAGCCGGGAATGATGCGATATCCGTGTCCTTTTCCAGAGCTGAGCTGCTCCAAGAAGGAGCAGGAGCTGGAGGAGCTGCTCCTGGAGGAGCTGCTCCTGGAGGCCAGTCGGGATCCGGGCCAGGAGCCGCTCTGAGGCCGCAGGTGAGCGGGATGATGGGAGCCGGGAAAAACCCTGGAATTCCTCCTGGGAATGCCGGGAATTCCCACAGCCTCGATCCCTGTGTGTCCCGCAGGTTCTGTCCGGGATCCTCCAGCTTTCTCTGGGATCATCCAGCCCCCCCCTTCCTCCTCCTCCTCCTCCTCCTCCTCCTCCTCCTCCTCCTGCTCTTCCCGCTCCGCACAACGGGAATTCCCAGCGAATTCCTCACGGGAAGGGAGGAAAGGGGGGGAAGAAAGGGGGAAAGGAGGCTCCGGGACTTTGGGAAAAGGCGATTGTATCCCGGTTTTTCCCTTGCCCTGCCCCTCCCCGCGCACACACACACAGAGACCCCTCCCCGGGGCCTTTCCCGAGGGTTTGGGAAGGGCGAGGAGAGAGCAGGGAAAGGATTTTCCCCTTTCCTTTCTCCATTCCCGCCTCATTCCCGCCTCGTTCCCGCCGGGAGCTGACGGGCCACACACTACAGGGATGCGGGGAGCGGGAGAGGCCGGGAATTCCTCACTAAAGCCCCCCCAAAAGTGGGTTTTTATTTATTTTTTCCAAGTCGTTGGTTTGTTTTTGTTGTTGTTGTTGTTGGTTTTTTTCCCCTTTTTATTTTTTTTGGTGTTTTTATTTTTTTCGGGTCTTTTTTTTTTTCTTTTTCCTTTTCCTTC